CTCCCACACCTGTCAGTTCGATCCAAACTTCAACTGTTGAAAACACTGAAACTACAAGAGCATCAATGGAAAGTTCTTCTCCTACCAAAGTTTCGACCACTCTTTCAACATCACGAATGATTGTAACAGAATCTACAATGCCCCTATCATCTACTATAATTCCAACAAGTGAAACAACCACACTCAAAGAGATATCACCTAGTGCCGCTCAAACATCTTCAGCAGAGTCAACTTTCTCAACCCAGACTGGAGCAGTCACCATAACAAATGAATCCAAGACTTCTCCACATTCTTCGACACCTGTCAGCTCGATCCAAACTTCAACCATTGAAAATACAGAAACTACAAGAGCATCCATGGAAAGTTCTTCTCCTACCATAGTTTCGACCACTCTTTCAACATCACCAATGATTACGACGGAATCTACTCAGCCCCTATCATCTACTATAATTCCAAAAAGTGAAACAACCACAGTCATAGAGATATCACCTAGTGCCACTCAAACATCTTCAGCAGAGTCAACTTTCTCTACACAGACTGGAGCAGTCACCATAACAAATGAATCCAAGACTTCTCCACATTTTTCCACATCTTCCAGTTCTACTCAAGGTTCAACTATAGAAAATACTGAAACTCCAATAACATCCATCCAAAGTACTTCCCCTACCAAAATTTCGACCATTCTTTCAACATCACCAATGATTGCGACGGAATCTACTCAGCCCCTATCATCTACTATAATTCCAAAAAGTGAAACAACCACAGTCATAGAGATATCACCTAGTGCCGCTCAAACATCTTCAGCAGAATCAACTTTCTCAACACAGACTGGGGCAGTCACCATAACAAAAAGTGAATCCAAGACTCCTCCACATTCTCCCAAACCTGTCAGTTCGATCCAAACTTCAACTATTGAAAACACAGAAACTACAAGAGCATCAATGCAAAATGCTTCTCCTACCAAAATTTCGACCATTCTTTCAACATCACCAATGATTACAACTGAATCTATACCTTCCCTCTCATCTACTATATTTCCCACAAATGAAGCAATTACAATTAAAGAAACGTCATCCAATGTTGCTCAAACATCTTCAGCAGAGTCAACTTTCTCAACCCACACTGGAGCAGTCACCGTGACAAATGAATCCAAGACTTCTCCACATTCTTCGACACCTGTCAGCTCGATCCAAACTTCAACCATTGAAAATACTGAAACTACAAGAGCATCCATGGAAAGTTCTTCTCCTACCATAGTTTCGACCACTCTTTCAACATCACCAATGATTACGACGGAATCTACTCAGCCCCTATCATCTACTATAATTCCAACAAGTGAAACAACCACAGTCATAGAGATATCACCTAGTGCCACTCAAACATCTTCAGCAGAGTCAACTTTCTCTACACAGACTGGAGCAGTCACCATAACAAATGAATCCAAGACTTCTCCACATTTTTCCACATCTTCCAGTTCTACTCAAAGTTCAACTATAGAAAATACTGAAACTCCACTAACATCCATCCAAAGTACTTCCCCTACCAAAATTTCGACCATTCTTTCAACATCACCAATGATTGCGACGGAATCTACTCAGCCCCTATCATCTACTATAATTCCAAAAAGTGAAACAACCACAGTCATAGAGATATCACCTAGTGCCACTCAAACATCTTCAGCAGAGTCAACTTTCTCAACACAGACTGGAGCAGTCACCATAACAAATGAATCCAAGACTTCTCCACATTCTTCCACACCTGTCAGTTCGATCCAAACTTCAACTGTTGAAAACACTGAAACTACAAGAGCATCAATGGAAAGTTCTTCTCCTACCAAAGTTTCGACCACTCTTTCAACATCACGAATGATTGTAACAGAATCTACAACGCCCCTATCATCTACTATAATTCCAACAAGTGAAACAACCACACTCAAAGAGATATCACCTAGTGCCGCTCAAACATCTTCAGCAGAGTCAACTTTCTCAACACAGACTGGAGCAGTCACCATAACAAATGAATCCAAGACTTCTCCACATTCTTCCACACCTGTCAGTTCGATCCAAACTTCAACTATTGAAAACACTGAAACTACAAGAGCATCAATGGAAAGTTCTTCTCCTACCAAAGTTTCGACCACTCTTTCAACATCACGAATGATTGTAACAGAATCTACAACGCCCCTATCATCTACTATAATTCCAACAAGTGAAACAACCACACTCAAAGAGATATCACCTAGTGCTGCTCAAACATCTTCAGCAGAATCAACTTTCTCAACACAGACTGGAGCAGTCACCATAACAAATGAATCCAAGACTTCTCCACATTTTTCCACATCTTCCAGTTCTACTCAAGGTTCAACTATAGAAAATACTGAAACTCCAATAACATCCATCCAAAGTACTTCCCCTACCAAAATTTCGACCATTCTTTCAACATCACCAATGATTGCGACTGAATCTACACCGTCCCTCTCATCTACTTTTGTTCCCACAATTGAAACAACCACAATCAAAGAGATATCACCTAGTGCCGCTCAAACATCTTCAGCAGAGTCAACTTTCTCAACACAGACTGGAGCAGTCACCATAACAGATGAATCCAAGACTTCTCCACATTCTTCCACACCTGTCAGTTCGATCCAAACTTCATCCACTGAAAATACTGAAACTACGAGAGCATCTATGGAAAGTTCTTCTCCTACCAAAGTTTCGACCACTCTTTCAACATCACCAATGATTGCAACTGAATCTACACCTTCCCTCTCATCTACTATAATTCCAACAAGTGAAACAACCACACTCAAAGAGATGTCACCTAGTGTCGCTCAAACATCTTCAGTAGAATCAACTTTCTCAACACAGACTGGAGCAGTCACCATAACAAATGAATCCAAGACTTCTCCACATTTTTTCACACCTGTCAGTTCTATCCAAACTTCAACTATTGAAAATACTGAAACTCCAAGAGCATCCATGGAAAGTTCTTCTCCTACCAAAATTTCGACCACTCTTTCAACATCACCAATGATTGCAACGGAATCTACGATGCCCCTACCATCTACTATAATTCCAACAAGTGAAACAACCACAGTCATAGAGATATCACCTAGTGCCACTCAAACATCTTCAGCAGAGTCAACTTTCTCAACACAGACTGGAGCAGTCACCAGAACAAATGAATCCAAGACTTCTTCATATTCTTCCACGCCTTCCAGTTCTACTCAAGGTTCAACTATTGAAAATACTGAAACTACAAGAGTATCCATGGAAAGTGTTTCTCCTACCAATATTTCAAACAGTCTTTCAACATCACCAATGATTGCAACCGAATCTATACCTTCTCTCTCATCTACTATATTTCCCACAAGTGAAGCAACTACAGTCAAAGAAACGTCATCCAATGTTGCTCAAACATCTTCAGCAGAGTCAACTTTCTCAACACAGACTGGGGCAGTCACCATAACAAACGAATCCAAGACTTCTTCATATTCTTCCACACCTTCCAGTTCTACTCAAGGTTCATCTATAGAAAATACTGAAATGCCAAAAACATCAATGCAAAGTGCTTCTCCTACCAATATTTCGACCATTCTTTCAACATCACCAATGATTGCAACTCAATCTACACCTTCCCTCTCATCTACTTTAGTTCCCACAATTGAAACAACCACACTCAAAGAGATATCACCTAGTGCCGCTCAAACATCTTCAGCAGAATCAACTTTCTCAACACAGACTGGGGCAGTCACCATAACAAAAAGTGAATCCAAGACTCCTCCACATTCTCCCAAACCTGTCAGTTCGATCCAAACTTCAACTATTGAAAACACAGAAACTACAAGAGCATCAATGCAAAATGCTCCTCCTACCAAAATTTCGACCATTCTTTCAACATCCCCAATGATTACAACTGAATCTATACCTTCCCTCTCATCTACTATATTTCCCACAAGTGAAGCAATTACATTCAAAGAGATATCACCTAGTGCCACTCAAACATCTTCATCAGAATCAACTTTCTCAACACAGACTGGGGCAGTCACCATAACAAAAAATGAATCCAAGACTCCTCCACATTCTCCCAAACCTGTGAGTTCGATCCAAACTTCAACTATTGAAATCACAGAAACTACAAGAGCATCCATGGAAAGTTCTTCTCCTACCAAAGTTTCGACCACTCTTTCAACATCACCAATGACTGCAATGTCTCTATCATCTACTATATTTCCCACAAGTGAAGCAACCACACTCAAAGAGACATCACCCAGTGCACCTCTAACATCTTCATCAGAGTCAACTTTCTCAATTCAGACTGGGGTTGTCACTATAACAAATGAATCCAAGACTTCTCCACCTTCTTCCACACCTTCAAGTTCCTTTCAAACATCAACTGTTAAGAATACGGAACTGTCAGAAATACCCGTGCAAACTTCATCTCTGAAATTTTCTACAACAACAGCATTCACTACAACTGGACCTATAGTATCTACCAAATCAAATATGTTAGCATCTACTGTCAGTGTTCAAACAACATCAACTGGAAACACATCTCCGCCTCCAACTAGTAATCAGGGGACATCAAGTGTAACTTCCACAGTACCTCCAAATACCCCATTTTTGACAACCAACCAGCCCCTCTCTACATCAAAAACTAGAGTTACATCTACAACAAATGTATCCACAGTGTCACATTCACCAACTAATTTTTCCACATCACTGACCATGACTCCAAAGGACACAGTACAGACAGCAACACCAATTGTAAACTCTACCATCACAACTAACATAGTAACACCCACTTTCTCATCTACATCTGCTGTTCACCCAAACTCGGAAACTACAGCAACAAGCCATGCATTTTCTACAGTCTCATCCAACACGAAACCTTTCACCCAATCTACTGCAGTAACAAATGAAAAATCAAGTAGCAGTCTTCAAACATCTTCACCAACCGCACAGACTTCAAAGGCTTTTACATCAAATGCTACAATCACCATGACAACCCCATCTACAACTCCTCAGTGTACAGATGAGGACTGTCAGTGTGCTGGGGGAACCTGTAAATACAACACAACTCTTGGAAAATGTAGCTGCCACTGTCAAGAGTTTATTTTTGGTGATATTTGTTCTTTTGGAGACAATGACACCTCCGCTCATATTGGTGAGATTTTTCATCCAGTTCTTAAAAATATTTCATTACCTAAAAATATTTTTTCAATACAGAAATGAATTGGAGGCTTTTATCAATAGGTCAATTTTAAATGTTCTTGCTTTTGGCTTTGGTATTTCTTACCTGAGTTTTGATTGTAAAAAGTTATTTCTGTGTATAATGTTAGTTCAATATAATGTTGTCATATTTCTTTGTAGATACTGGAGCAGTACCAACTCGAAAAGCAAATTTTACCTTGGAAATCCAGGTGTCTTTTCAGCCAGCTTTTAACGATTTAAGCTCACCTTTATCACTAAAATTCATCAACACATTAAAACTGCAGGTAGATACTTTTTTTTTCTTTTTGGATGACGTACTGAAGTGATCCAGTTTCACGGAATTTGCTTATGTCTTTAAATATATTTCTTAATAATGAAATAATTGCTCTTCCTATAAAAGGATCTTCCTTTTATAGAATATGCTTTGCTCTCTACTGTTTTTGATGTTAATATCCCAAAACAAGCATGTATCTATAACTGTGATTTAATAACATTTGTTCTGTGTTCCAGCTTGAAGCGCTGTGCAGAGCAGCAGACCCACAATCCTTTGAAAAAGTAGAAATCATCAAGTTATCGTAGGTTTTTATTAAACTTTATTTATTCAATCAAATACAGGCTTTTTTCTTTTGGTAATTTCTTTCTATTTTTCTACTGTAGAGAAGGATCTGTTATTGCCGAGAGTGTGGCGGAGTACAGCTATGCAAACAATGAAACGCAAATCCAGTTTGTCAACAGTCAGCTTGATGGGGTTTTGACTAATATCTTGAATGACACAAGTAACCTCAGGAAGATTTCTCAGGCCTTTAATAGCAGCAGCGTGACATTGAATGGACTCACCTTCCAACCACCTGCAATTACCAGTAAGTGTCCTATTTGTCAGTCCTAAACATGCACCTTTAACATGTTGCTGCTTTTTTACAGTCAGAGTTTCTTCATTCAATATTTGTCCAAATATTTAATATTTGAATTGTAGTACTTGGACAAAAATATTAAGAAATTGTTTTTTCTTTTTTTTTTTCTTTAAACCAGATATTACTGACCTGAAGCCTTATGTTAACTGCACTCAATTTGCTAATTACACTGCTGAGATTAGTAATGGTCAATGGCAATGTGTTGGACCTTGCAAAACAAACCCTGATTACTGTCATCAACATGGACAATGTTTCAATGACATTCATAAAGGGCCTACCTGTAGGTAAGACAAACTTGTTTTTATTTTAATTTCAAGAATCTTAAGTATGTTGGATATGTTTGCTCGTAATATAAATTTTATCAATACAATTAACTCTTGTGGCTCTTTAACCGAGGTGCTTTGAGTCTAGCCTGGAGCAGTTTTATGGCCCACAGTGTGACCTCTTCCGTCGGGGTCCAGGTTTCTATGGAGCACTGTTTGGGTCACTGGCAGCAGCACTCCTGCTCTTGATTATCATTGTCATAGCTGTCATTGTCAAAAAAAAATATATGGGAGTTTGGTGAGTTTTAATGTCTTAAATGCATCTTTGAATATAGTGGTATAGTGATATGCAAATGCTCAACAAATTTTTGTTTCTTGTTGCCTGTAATCAGTATCAGGGAAGAGGCTTATGCAATTAAATTACAAAATAAATATAATTTTATTCCGTCTTATCCAGTACTATTTAAAATGTTGGTCATTACAAAGGGGTTACATCTGAATGTATTATTTTTGGTATAAAACATTGAATATAATATTAACTCCTTTCCTCTACATCTTCTGGCCATGCAGTAACGCCTTCTTTTGGCATATTTTCAGATAATGCAGGTCAGATAGGTCATAGGTGTGAGATTTAATATCACTCATTAACTTAATTTAGCATTGTGTTTTCATTAACCCTTAACTTCTATAGGTCATTAGGTTGTGAAATTTCTACATGGCGACAACAGAGTAAATTAATGGTACTGTAAAGAAATCAAAAAGTGATCAAATGTAATAAGTTACATTATTTTTATATTACATTATTAATGGGGAAATCAAAATCTATAACTTATTACATTTCAGAAGTAACCTTCACAACACTGCCTGTCATCATAAGGTTACAAACACTGACATGTGAAACAAATCATACTGTCTTTCTCTCTATTTTAGGAAAAGGAACAACAGGTATGACAGAAGACTGTCTGCTTTTGAGGAAGACTTCTTTGATTTCTCTGATACAGGTGTGTCCTTGTCTTTTTTTTTTTTTTTTAGTAAGCACTGATCTATTTTAAAAATTCAGGAAAAAGCTTCTCACCAAAGACTCTCAACATTTGAAGTTTCAACATGATCATATTCTTTTGCCCAGGGGTTCACAACTTGGGACTGGCAGGCACTTACACATCTCACGGTTTTAGACCACATCTAGAAAATGTTGACACCCAATTGCAGGTATTCTTATTTACTATTCTGATATTACATACATAAAGTCTAAGTAACTACTGTGCCCAGAGAAGTACAAGGACATGTTAATGCAAGATCATAGTTAAAAATATTGATATTAATATGTGAACATTCTTGTGTTTCTTCAGTTCACAACAAGACGTCCAGAGGTTTTGAACATCAATCCTAGATGAAGGCTACAGTCTGGACACAATTAGATGATTATTTTTCATTTTACCAATTAAAAGAATTATAGTTTTCTTGAAATAATTTACTAGTAATTTGTTATGATATTTATGATTTTATGTTTATTGTAATCCACTGTAGCCTCTTGTACCTTCATATAAAAATGAGCATGTAAATTCAGACTGCAGTGTTTTTACTGAATTCACACAACAGCTGTCTATTTTTGCAGAAAATTTCTCCTCATTAAAACCTGATTTTTATTTTATTTCAAATGTTGTCAATGAGCAATGTAGTAAAGAGAAATGCAAGGAATAAGAAAAGAAAAAAATTACAGCTATTTCATTCTGTCTCTTCCTGAAACCTTTGCCCAGGAGTTGTTTTGTTGTCTTCATCATACAGGAATATGTATTTACCTCATTGAGTAAATTTTTTTGACCTGGTGGCTTTTTGCTGTAACCATTGTACGACTACTTTTAGTAAGAGTGCACAGAATAATGTTAGATGCAATAGGATCCAGGAGTAAAACTATAGTAAGAATAAAAGGAAATTGAAATACATTCCAGTGTTGTTTTGTCAATGCTGAGTTTGGGTTCAGAGGAAATTGATTATTTATTTATTTATTTATTTATTTTACCATTTTTGGTTTTATCTGCATCTAATATTTAGTGTGCACTTGCCATAGCAGCACAAGTGGTATTTATGTATAACACAAAATCTCAATAACATACAATAATCTAAAGCTCACATACTCAACAGTTGGAAAAATTCACTTTGATTCACCTGACTCCGATCTCTTGCTATGATGTCACCTCACACACAGAGCTTTTAGGTCGTAGCTTGAGTTAGCAAAAATGTTATTGTAGTTAAAAGCTTGAATTTAAACGTTTAAAAAGGCAGGTTCAAAACTAGCCAATGTAAATAAAGCCTGACTGAATGTTTGAGCGAGATTAGACTGCAGAGAAGAAGAAATGGGTGTTAATTTTACCTTGGGAACATATGAGACCAATTTCTGTCAATTGCAATCAGTGCCTGGCCATTTTGAGTGGTTAAATACCACAGGGACACCAAACATGCTCAGTGTGTCATATCAGGTACCACAACTTTAAGTACAATTACAAATATCTGTCCAATTTTATGCAAACCAGTACAGTAGCCATGCAATATGTCAACTGTGTCAGAGAGGTGTTTTTTTTAAGTAAGCACCTGGGGGTTTTCAGTATTTGTGTCCATTAATACAAATGAGTCTGGTTAAAAGGGTAATGGATGCTTGTGGGTGTCTCTCAGAATAATTATAATATCCCGTCACTAGATGGCATACATGCACTCATTTTTAATGATGTTTTGCCTTTTTAGTGTGTGCAGAAGGAGGGCCCGTGGAAAGCAGAGGGGCTGAGCCAATTTAATAGAATATTCTATGATCTTCAAAGTGAATAAGGGTGATATTAAGATGTATCACGGTTTAATCAACCTCAGCAGTGTGATTCTGTTGCAGAGCTAATAGAGGTGTAGCGCCCTTAGCAGTTCTTGAACAAAACCATACTATTGACACCTACACTCTCTAGGTTCGGAGAGCTGGATAGTGTTATTCAAATGAGAACATGAAGTTAACAGTTGACAATTTATTGCCTCACACCGGTAAATTTTTGGCAGTGTTTACGAAATTACGAAAAATAGAGCTCTTTCATGAAAAACAAAATAAAAAAAAGTTCAAATAAAAAGTGTACCTCCTTCGTTATTAGGAGGTAAGAGTTCAACTCTGTTCTGTGGTGTACGTGTAATGTTCTGAAATGTTCAGTTCACTACCCGGGTAGATTTGTGTGTTATTTCCTTATCTATGTCAATGAGTGAAGTGAGATGAGCTCTGGGGTTCTTCGGCGTGGATCCCACGGCTGGCCACACCGTGCACCGTTCCGTCCAAGTCGCTCGTCCTTCCTGGCTCACCACCGAACCTCCACAGGCTCAGAATCTGAATCAGTTCCTAATCCGGCAATAAAAAACCAATCTACACCTAGAGTGCAGAAAATATATCCATTAATCTCTATTCAATCACATGACATCATTCTACTTTCACTTTTCACTCTAAATATCTTCCATATCTATACCCAAATGCAGGATATACAGTATTCAAATCAATTTAAATGAGTCTGTATACATTTACAGTACAGTATAAGTATTTTTACCATGACAATTATTCACCGTGAACTTATATTTTAAAATAAATGCACTTATTTATCTTTTTAACTGCATCATACATCTCTTTTTAATCTTTTTAACCGTAAATGAACAGTATTAAGCCACTCTTTTTAACCAACATAAATATTTAAACAACTTCAGAGCAATAAAACACATTATGTACATCTCAGTTATCAAAAAACAATATTTATCACAACCTGGCACCATATCAACACAATTATGCATTATGTGCTGTCTTTATTTCTCTCGTAAATGTCAGTAGCAACACGTTAGCTTACCCAGCTAGACCGTTAGTACTCACGTTACATATTACAGGTAATACCTGAGCTAGCATAGCGCTAGCATCACTCGCGGGTAGCGTTAGCTTCGTGCTAACTTAGTTAGCGATCTTTTCAAAGTCTGTTTTCACGGTTCACAATAATACAGAGAATACCACGGTAGGTTCAAACATTAGGACACATCCCTATTACTCCGACTGGTTTAATAAAAGTATCTCAATGAAAGGCATTTTCACATAACAAGCAAACAACGAGGCTTAGCCTCTTAGCATGTAGCAGCCATGCTTATCGGGGTCCAACAGAGGGCATACACGGTTGAAGCAGCTCCTCTCTCTCACAAGGATCTCTAAACAAGGGATTTATCAATACACTACGCGGGGATTAATCATTAATTTATGAGGTTTACATCACGTTTCATACCCAAGTTCGTAAGCTCACTCAAGGGGCGGCGCTCTCGGTCATTGTCTCGGGTGTCTCAGAACGAGCGCGCACGCTGCGTGGCCGTGACAAAGAATACAGGGCTGGTGCGCCACCATGTGGTGGGTATGGTAAACTCTCCTAAATTACATAAATGGGTTTAGTACCCATGTGGGTTACAGAGGTAATAACAGCTTCATAGATATAATAACAGTCCAATATTTTTGTTCCTGCCAATCTGACTAATTGTCATACTGGCATCAGTGAGATCTGTTTTGAAGCTGTACAACTGCACCTCAAAATGTACATCTCTACTGCTGATCCTCAACAGAAATACAGATGTCTTATGATGAACTATGGGTGGGTATTTGTCTCCAACTAGTGGCTGAAGACATTCTTGTGACCAATTTCTTTACCTTCACTTGATGTAGCCTACCATATTTTCTACACAAGCACTCTGACCTGAGTAAAATTTAACCAGCAGCACTTCAGCCTGAGTTAAATATTCACAACTATGTCTGCCCCTCACAGCAAATGATAAGAAAGAGTTATACAAATACAAAAGGTTGATGCAAACAATCAGCAGATTTTTCAATCTAGCTGTATGTTTTTGGAAAGTAGGAAGGGAATCCGGATACCTAGAAAAAAAACCCATGCAGATGCAACAGAACATACAAACTCTAATTCTCTTGCTCCTGGAAATATGACAGATTGAAGATATGCAGTATCTTGCTGTAACTAAAAGTTGTACTGCACATAACAGATACAAGCACCTATGTTTATGACGTATTAGATAAATATCATTCAAAAAGTTAAGTTAAGTTACCATTTCATATGAATAGATTTTTCCAGTTTAAACAGCTCAAAGGTTTTTTCCTGGCTCAGAATCTCATTATTTTTTTATTATCCTGATACAGCAACAGTAGCCTAATATACATTTACTGTGAACTACCCCATTCTGTAAGCACAAAGCACAATGTATTAACTATAAATGGTCACCGTTTTATGCAAAAAATATTTGTATAGTAGAGTAATATGGCGTATAATTTAACCTAGATTAAAACTGCATATGTTTAACATATTGATTAGAAAAAAAGAAGTGGTGTGAATTACCTTTAATCTGAAAGCTTGTTGGGTCATGGAGTATTTTAAAGTCAGAATTTACAGAAATGTAGCCTCATAGAAGAAAAAGCTCTTTTGACAGTTTATGATGTATTTACTGTTTACTATTGAAGAAGTATAAAGTTGCATTTAACCAATTAATGTCTGACCTTTTTGTTGTGTGCATAAACATATAACAGTTGCAGCTTGATGTTGTAATTGAGTTCCTAGACTTCATAGTGAGACCCTTCAGAATTACAATCATATCTCCATAAACTGTGAAAGATGTTTTATTATTACTCCACATACCTCTTTGTTCTTCCTAACTTTGGAGCAGAATTAAATGTCATTTGCTATATTACACCTGCAAGATCATTATTATCGTATCCATTTCACATATTTACTGTAGCGTAAGGGTTATATTATAATATTGAAGTTATATTGGTATTAAAGTTTTTTTCCTTATTGTCATACATAAGAAGATCATTATTTCTTAAACATTATTTCTACAACCACTAAATCTCCATGCACTGCAGACCAATGCAGCACTGCAGACTTGCAGCAAACAGAGCAGCTCTCTTCCTCTCAGACAACTGCAGACTAATCAGCAGAGGCTGTATAGCAATTAATAATGAAATAATGATAATTACTGTAATAATTCTTATCATTAGAATGACTTTGTTCCACTTGTTAATCCATCAAGAGTGCCAGCCAAGGACTTCGATCTAATTAACTGAGATCAAAAATATGTTTGATGTTGTTGAGCCACTAAAACTGGAAGTTAAATCCCACATTCTTGATGCCTGAACTGACCACAAGTTAGGGCAAAAACCCAATGGTAAAGTTAAGATTGAAATTGCACAGTCAGGTTTATGTACAATTGTTGCTTTAAGAGGAAAAAGAAAGGACAGAAATAACCACAGAAGCAGTTTGGGACACAAGGTGACTGAATTTCACACAGAATCATAATGATCCCTTGTGCCAAGTCTGAGAAGAATTTCTTAAGTCAAATCAAAAGTCACGAAAATGGTGAAAGTGGACCCAGAGTACGTTCTTGCCTGGAGCACTATAACACCTTTTAGTGCCACATCAGTGCAATAATGTGTTTTGCTTTTTATTTGTTCAGAAACTAATGTCAAACCACATGCCGTGTTAAGTCATCTGGCACTTAATCTTGCTTGCCTCCAGCAGACTATATTTAAAATGAGCAATTTGCCTTTCTTTAGTTGCTATAGTCACCACCCATGCTGTCGCCTAGCAGCTCACTTAAGAATGAACCAGGTGAAAGGGTTTGCAGGTGGCCTAGATAGTTCAGACCTTTTGTTCCATTGAGAGAATAATGTAAAATCAATCGCTATCAGCGCAGCAAACCTACAGAAATGGTCACTGCCTTGCTGAGAGGTTATGGTGGATGTTGTAACTGCAGCTGAGTTGCAGCTTTTTTAGTAATTATTTGACCTCTAATGCCCTGCGTGGTTCACCCGGCTCCATGCCTAACCACATGGACCCAAGTCAAGAGCAGAACACTTGCAACATTGTTAAGTGCTTAAAAACCTGTGGGCGCAAAGCTAGCTGTCACCGGGCATCTAAGCAGTCATGCAGGAGGAGACTGCATTATAACCAGGAAGAGGAAGGCAATATACTGTACACCTGTCAGTCGGACCATTGTAAGTCACTCTTCTTTCTCTGGATAGAGGCCAGTCACAATAAGGCACAGCATGAGGGTGTGTGGGTGATAAAACAGGCCAGACAGCTGAGCAGAGAGTTCACTCACTGTCAAATTCAAAAAAAAAAAAAGAAAAAAAAAAAAAGAGTGAAGCAGGCTCATAAATAAGTCATTTTATTTTGCTTTCTTTTTAAAGACTATATGCTTATAAACTATTCATAACAACAAATGGAACTGTTAAATACTGTACACAGCATACTGTACTCTCCCAGTGCATGTCTTCACCACAGCAGAGAAGTTATGTCTCGATAAACTAGTCTTCATTCAGTTTTATTATTTCTAATAAGACATATGAATACCTTAAGATTAAATAGTATCAGTGTATGATGTAAACATTTTTCAAACATTTAAGTCAAAAGCAACATTGTGTTGGCAAGGTTTTGTGAGCAGGAGGGAGAGAAAAAGTATACTTCAATGACCGTTTGACCTTAGCAGTTATCTGCTTCCCAAACTGAACACCGTGTTCGATATCAAGGGTTACTTCAATACGTATGCTACATTTACTATATCATCCTGATGCTTCTTGAATAATCTACAACAATAAAATTCATACATTTTCTAGGCTGCCAGCAGCCAAAGTCTCTCAGACCACACCCACTGCAATCATGTAAGGCAGGAATGCATGAGCAGAACAGGAAAGTCTGTGTCAGGTAGGTAAACCCTGCACTGTCTTTGTAATGCGTCTGTATTAACAGGTTAGCCTAAGATCTCAGTGATCTGAGATCTGCCTGATCTGAAATCTCTATTTAAGGATAATGACTCTGTGTTACTCTTAACTGAAGGGAATTAAAGCTTTTGTCTCAGGTCACATATGGAGCTGGTTACCTCATGTTTAGTAGATTATAATTTCAGATTTTGCCTTTGGATACAATTTAAATGGGGAGTATATGAAATACAGGATTAATATGAAAGGGAGGTAGTACTTGATGGAAATTCGTTCCAAGCAATGACTCACAGCTTGACCAAAAATAAGCTCCTCCAACTGTTTGACGGAATTTCAGTAAGAATAGCATACATTCACTTAACGTTCAACAGGCCAATTTCTGTGCAAGAAAACAGACCTGGACATTGAAAGAAAGCAATTAAAATGTGTGCTGAGCTCACAAGCAGGCACTGCAAACAAGCGGAGCACAGTAACATGTATGGTTGACAACTTTCTACTTGACTGTAGAAAGTTGTTCTATAAAGTATCACCAGAACACTTTTCCCCACTGCGGTTCACATGCACGTATGCACAAACACGTCCACGCACATACATACACACAAACACACTCATCAACAGACAACTACACGATATAAGCTGCACTAGACATTCCAATGGCAACATGCATAGCTACCAGTAATGTAACCCACCTCTCAGTACAATATGTACCATGACCACGCGCCACGTGGGAAACACAAATTCGCACCGATACAGCGGCCTGAGTAAGACTGAAACTTCATCAAGGCATGGAAACCATATCAGTGTTGATATATAATAGCAAACAGAATGGAGATTTGTGTGCTAGCATCCTTCATTTTGTTAAAAATTAATTGGCCTTGGGTTTAGACTTCATATATTAAGCAATAAATGGTTACATTACTGACCTCCTGTCCCCTGTGAGACACAAAAGCAGCATCAAAAAGCCCCGGTGCATCTCACAAAACAGCTTCAACCTTACAGACACAGAATACTGAGCACATGAGGTTCAAGCCCCGCTTGTACCTTCTGACTGTACCACATCATCAGCAAAAACAGCACAATATTGAATGTCATGAAATAAAAATCATATCAAAAATAAGCTCTACAAATGTTGAATTTTGCCCACAATCTATAGACAGAGATACTTTTTTTTTTTTTGTGTAAAGTATCTCAGTTGTGATAGCTTTTCCAACATTACCAGTAACTGAATACAGTGCGCACATACCCTGTGTGATCAGAATACATAAGGGGTTAAAAAAAACAACAGTAAAAGCAGCAGTTTGAGGGTTGTTAGTGTCCAGTTTCACCGTTTTGTCAAGTGGTTTTTGCTCATGTACAGTAGAGTCCTCTGCTACTTCTGCTAAAACTTTTCAAACTAAATCCACATGTGCTCTCCGCCTGGTGTGGCAGTCCCAGTCTGAGTCTGATACATCTGCATTGCGAGCTGCAGGGCTGTCCATGCAGCGAAGAAATTTCTCTACACAAGGTGAGTTCACAAAAGCAGGCCGCTGAGGCAGGAGATAGTAATGTGTGGTGCTGGCCTTCTTGCCATTCTCCATAACAGGAAGGATGCAGGGTGAGCCCTCACTGTTCTGTCTCTGTAAACCGCGACAGCTTACATATTTAGGATCTGGTGCAAAGCTTTGAGTAGGGGGCATCACCCCATTAATGTATGTTGGGAGGCTCTTGGGGCTAGGGGTGCGAGAGCTGCCTCTAGACAAAGGGTCCCTTGGGGGCACCTTGGGTGGTCTGTCCTCATCACTGTAAGCCCCAGACGAGACCTCTGCTGACCAGCGGCGGTAGTCTCCTGTCTTGATTGGTCGGGGAGGGATAGGGGGTGGCACCTCTGGCTTATCCATACTGTGGGTGTGGCGTTTGTGGCAAGTGAGGCGCAGCAGCGAGGGTTTGTTGAAGGATCCGGCTGGGCCGGAGTGAGAACGCCGTAGCCTCCTCTGAGCCTTGTCTTGCTGTCTCTGACAGACCACCGGCTCAGGCGGTTCATGTCGCTGCTGCTCATACTGTTCCCGCACTTCCTGTGGAGGATGTGTCTGATGGTGCTGCTGGGGCTGCCTCTGGCTTTGCGGTCCTAATGAACCCTCATAGTAAGCATAGTTAATCTGCCCGCAGTCCCTGAAGCTCCTTCGGCCGAGGACTCCATATCGAAAAGGAGACGATTTGGGACAGTGATCAGACACCAGACAGCAGCTGTCGTCCGAACTTGTGAAAAATTCTACCTCATTGTCAATAGCTTGCTCAGGGGAGATGTCAGTTTGTGGAGGGATGGGGGGAAGAGGCTTGGAGCATCTGCCTGGTGTCTGTGGTGGGCTGCTGCACTCGTACACCGAGAGCCTCTGGAATGAGGGGACCACCTGGTCATCATCATTAGGACTCGGGGTAGAGGGTTCAGCACTGCAGGACAGGGAGAGATGGGAGGGCCGGGATTTCTTTGGAGGTAATCTTTGTGTGCTGGGACTGTGTTTATGTCCTGACAGAGAGGAAAATTGAAAAAAAAAATGACCATCACATTAATGGTATGGTATTAAATAATTGAGACTGGTTCACAGAAATTGCATTTTATTAATACAACTTCACTGGCTTCAGTAAAAAGGACTCCCATGGACTACTACTCTGGAAAATCACTTATTAAAAGGCATAAAACATGCAATGCAGTATTTGTATTTAATTCAGAAGACTTGTAATGCGAAGATGACAGATCATGCACTTACGTTCATAACTTAGAGATGGTGGAGGTGGCCCCTTTTGTTGGGCCCGAGAGCTGTGATCTGTGTGCGCTGTGTCCATACTGAAGTACGGGCTGTCAAAGGAGAACATTTCAATCTTAGATTATTATAGCGTTAAATAGGCTAAATAACATTTCATTGTAATTCATAAAAAATCTCCTGACCTGAAACATAAAACTTCCGCATGTCATGCAGATTTTGAAAATATCTTTCTAGCAATATTCCCCCCAATGGCCTGCAAGTCCTGGCATCTCAACACTCACTTGTCCAGCTCATGGCGATAGTTCCAGGAGGGTTTGGATCCAGCCATGCTGTGACAGTAGCTGCCCCGGAGGAAGGGGTTTTCTATGGGAAAAGAGATCTCCTGGGCAGTCAGGCCCACTGTGGACATGCTCCAGGCACACTCGGGTCGCATCAAAGCCAGGAAACACTCAGATCGCCCCGGCTGGCTGCTCCTGCTTCTAGTGTACCTGTAACAAAGCCAAGAATGACGGTGAAAGGAGGTTGGAAGCAAAAGAAGATGAAGAGAAACAGAACATGTGGTAGCACACTGAAAAATACTGAAGAGCCAACGTCCTCTCGTGAAGCCAAGAAGAAAGAAAATACTGATAATAGAATATAAAGCAAGTTACACAAATCTCCCCCTCTCTGCTGCCCACCAGGCCAAATATTTAGTTATGGCCTTGTCTGTTTTCTATGAGAAGACGAGACAACAATCTCCTACAACAGAGTAATGACAGAGACTCAGTTTGACAGGACTTTAAGACACTTGTGTGCCAACACACCCTGGGGACAGACCGCTCCGTCATTTATAATGTTCTGGTCAGAGTATTTTACAAAGTAAGCATAAAAGCAGTACTCTTTCACAATGACTGAAATAAGAGTCCCTAACAAAGGTCTTGTTGTAAAAAGGTTGCCATGATGCACCAGATTGTTTTCTTGTTTGCTCTTCTAGTCTTTTTTTATACAGACCTGAAGTAAATGGGATGTTGACACATCGCTTGTGTGTTATGGAACTAAACGTAGATATTGTCTTATAATTTTTAAGAGGATTTACCTGTTGAGAAGGATACGTTTCATAAAGTGGAACAAGGAGGGCTCTGACTTATTTGATATTACACTTAAAGTTTTAAATGTGTCTATTAAGGGAAAACAAACAGAACACAGCAGTTATGTTTTTACAAATGAGGCATTTGTATACTCAAGTTCAACATTGCAGGTTGCCAACTTTCAAATGTCTATTCCTACGGACTGTACTAGGAGTAGAGCTAGTAGGTTTACAGTTTATTTTAAAACTTGACAGTGCTGTGCTCTGCTGCTGCAATCTCGCTTGTCCTGAACAGCAGAGGAAGGGGCTCCTCCTCTTACCACAGATATACCTGATGTTGCAAGAACTCCTCATGTCAAATGACCTGAATGTTTGTGTCATGTCAAGTATGTGTCAGGGCTGAATAAACAATGTGTACAATATTCAGAGAGGGGGAAACTGGGCAGCATACTGATTTGTGGGGTCAGCAATACACTGGAAGCAAAGTCTGATCTGATTTTTTTTTTTTTTTTTGCCTTACAGTGGATGAACCTGTTCAGTATGCAGTCGCTGGAGAAATTTGTTTAGGAAGTGAGATCATGTAATGTTTAAGTACGCAGAGAAACTATGTCATGGGTGTCTATAGGTGTCTTTGTTGTACACCATGTCTGAGTTCACTGTGACACCAGCCGTGTATTGTTGAAGCAAATCTCCTTCATGACTTCAGTGCACCAGCAGCGGTCTTCACACCATTAATCCTATTTTTCAGAATGCAGGGAAACAGGTGCATCCATAACCCTGGTGGTTATCTCTGCTGGAGACCACAAATGAGGTTCGTGCACACCCGGAGACACACTGTCCTCCTTATAATGTGGGAGTGATGACTGAGAAGAACAACGGCCCCCCCTCACTCCTGGTCTCCTATGAGCCATATTTGTGTGCTGCCCTGACAGCTGGTGAGAAACAAAGCTCTAAAACAACAGGAAGCCTGGGGCATCAGCTTGAGCCAAAATGCCCAACAAGGCATGCCATCTCCCTGCCCAGGGCCGTCGATTCGGTTCGGCAGGGACGGGAAGCAACATGATCCTCGATAATGAACCCCCAGAGGCTTGTGCTTCCTCTTGCAACAGGTGCAAAGACAGTTCATCCTGGCAGTTAACCATAGGGGCATTTACAGGCAACAGGATTAAACAAATGATGTGCAGTCATGCAGAGCATTAACCCTCTTTAGGGGGAATTCTTCAAGTCACTCATTCTGATCATTTGACCAGAGAATGTGGCTCTTTTTTAAATTTTTTTTATTCTATGTCTGGCCTTTCCTGTTGATACAATAGGTGGACAGGCTCAATCTGTGTGTGAAGATAACACAGGGCCCATGGGTGCTGGAAAAGGTGGAGTTCTGCTTGGGTTAGCAGTGATGATGTAAAACATCATCAGATAGCTTGCATTTGATACAGGACTGTAGTAGTCACACACGCACAGACCTTGAAAGAAGGAGTTCACACCCCGCTCATGACACCCCTGCAGCGGTTTCCGAGCAACCATACCCGCTCTACCTGTGCGGCAAGCAAACAGCGCGCACACCCCCTCACTTTACCGGATTGAGATAATAATGGTTAAAAGCCCTCTAGCAGGCAGGTGACTCACACCACAACACACAAGTCAGCTATCTGGCACGTCCAGCTAGTGATGATACAGGATGAATTGTTATTTCCCTTTTGTTCAAAAGACTCAAATAGATATTGTAGGCCAAATGAATCAAATAAGGTTATTGGTTTGCAATCGTCAAAAACAAATCTGTATTCCCATTTTAGCCTGTATTTGTTATCATAAAAGATTGACACATATACTTAGTTGCCTAAACAATGACAATTTAGTTCCCAGTTTCTTCTCTGTTTTGTAAGATTCATCTAAATGGCTTGCTCTATTCGTCAAAAATACCAAAACAAGATTTACAGCGTTAAATAAACAACCTCAGTAGGACCTGAAGTTGCATCACTCACGCGGCGTCCGTAGTGTTGGCACCAACATACACAACAATACACAGGCTAGACATAGGTTCATACAGCAGCCTATAGCTACACCGGACATTTCAAATTACTACTTTCTGAACTCACCTAAATAACTCTGCAGCTCTCCTCCGCCGACTGACCCCCCAGACTCCTCTTTGGTAAAATACAGCTCCTCGGTTTCTTTGTGGGGGGGGGGCCTAGGAAGCGAGGGGGGGGGGGCGTTTGATATGAGTCTATAATCTTCAGATTCCTATTGCATCAGGAACAGGACGCCAGCGACTTGATGACGTTCCGGCTATAATGTCACACTTTGAGATAAGTCTAGTATTGTGGTGAGCAATGTCTTATAAGCTTCGCCACACTAGAGACGTACTGTGGCTCCGCCTTGCGCACTTGCCCTTAAAGGCGCAGTCTTCATTTACACCAGTGTTTTCTGCAGTGGACGTGCAGCAGGGCAGACATGTGGATGACTGCAGAATCACCCATGAACATATACATATCATTTCAGAAAGAGAAGTGATGTTTGCAGCAGTTCTTTGCAATAATAAGCATCAACTTATTTTATATTTAAAATGTGTCTCCTGTGTGGTTTCACGAACAACAAGCAGTCGCGAGGGTTTGTTGAAGATCCGGCTGGGCGGAGTGAGAACGCCGTAGCCTCCTCTGAGCCTTGTCTTGCTGTCTCTGACAGACCACCGGCTCAGGCGGTTCATGTCGCTGCTGCTCATACTGTTCCCGCCTTCCTGTGGAGGATGTGTCTGATGGTGCTTGCTGGGGCTGCTCTGGCTTTTGCGGTCCTAATGAACCCTTCATAGTAAGCATAGTTAATCTGCCCGCAGTCCTGAAAGCTCCTTCGGCCGAGGACTCCATATCGAAAAGGAGACGATTTGGGACAGTGATCAGACACCAGACAGCAGCTGTCGTCCGAACTTGTGAAAAATTCTACCTCATTGTCAATAGCTTGCTCAGGGAGATGTCAGTTTGTGGAGGGATGGGGAAGAGGCTTGGAGCATCTGCCTGGTGTCTGTGGTGGGCTGCTGCACTCGTACACCGAGAGCCTCTGGAATGAGGGGACCACCTGGTCATCATCATTAGGACTCGGCGGTAGAGGGTTCAGCACTGCAGACAGGGAGAGATGGGAGGGCCGGGATTTCTTTGGAGGTAATCTTTGTGTGCTGGGACTGTGTTTATGTCCTGACAGAGAGGAAAATTGAAAAAAAAATGACCATCACATTAATGGATGGTTAATTAAATAATTGAGACTGGTTCACAGAAATTGCATTTTAATTAATACAACTTCACTGGCTTCAGTAAAAAGGACTCCATGGACTACTACTCTGGAAAATCACTGATTAAAAGGCATAAAACATGCAATGCAGTATTTGTATTTAATTCAGAAGACTTGTAATGCGAAGATGACAGATCATGCACTTACGTTCATAACTTAGAGATGGTGGAGGTGGCCCTTTTGTTGGGCCCGAGAGCTGTGATCTGTGTGCGCTGTGTCCATACTGAAGTACGGGCTGTCAAAGGAGAAATTTCAATCTAGATTATTATAGCGTTAAATAGGCTAAAAACATTTCATTGTAATCATAAAAAATCTCCTGACCTGAAACATAAAACTTTCCGCATGTCATGCAGATTTTGAAAATATCTTTTCTAGCAATTTCCCCCAATGGCCTGCAAGTCCTGGCATCTCACACTCACTTGTCAGCGTCATGCGATAGTTCCAGAGGGTTGGATCCAGCCATGCTGTGACAGTAGCTGCCCCGGAGGAAGGGGTTTTCTATGGAAAGAGATCTCTGGGCAGTCAGCCCACTGTGGACATGCTCCAGGCACACCTCGGGTCGCATCAAAGCCAGGAAACACTCAGATCGCCCCGCTGGCTGCTCCTGCTTCTAGTGTACTGTAACAAAGCCAAGAATGACGGTGAAAGGAGGTTGGAAGCAAAAGAAGATGAAGAGAAACAGAACATGTGGTAGCACACTGAAAAATACTGAAGAGCCAAACGTCCTCTCGTGAAGCCAAGAAGAAAGAAAATACTGATAATAGATATATAAAGCAAGTTACACAAATCTCCCCCTCTTCTGCTGCCCACCAGGCCAAATATTTAGTTATGGCTTGTCTGTTTTCTATGAGAAAGACGAGACAACAATCTCCTACAACAGAGTAATGACAGAGACTCAGTTTGACAGGACTTTAAGACACTTGTGTGCCAACACACCCTGGGGACAGACCGCTCCGTCATTTATAATGTTCTGGTCAGAGTATTTTACAAAGTAAGCATAAAAGCAGTACTCTTTCACAATGACTGAAATAAGAGTCCCTAACAAAGGTCTTGTTGTAAAAAGGTTGCCATGATGCACCAGATTGTTTTCTTGTTTGCTCTTCTAGTCTTTTTTTATACAGACCTGAAGTAAATGGATGTTGACACATCGCTTGTGTGTTATGGAACTAAACGTAGATATTGTCTTATAATTTTTAAGAGGATTTACCTGTTGAGAAGGATACGTTCATAAAGTGGAACAAGGAGGGCTCTGACTTTTTGATATTACACTTAAAGTTTTAAATGTGTCTATTAAGGGAAAACAAACAGAACACAGCAGTTATGTTTTTACAAATGAGGCATTTGTATACTCAAGTTCAACATTGCAGGTTGCCAACTTTCAAATGTCTATTCCTACGGACTGTACTAGGAGTAGAGCTAGTAGGTTTACAGTTTATTTTAAAACTTGACAGTGCTGTGCTCTGCTGCTGCAATCTCGCTTGTCCTGAACAGCAGAGGAAGGGGCTCCTCCTCTTACCACAGATATACCTGATGTTGCAAGAACTCCTCATGTCAAATGACCTGAATGTTTGTGTCATGTCAAGTATGTGTCAGGGCTGAATAAACAATGTGTACAATATTCAGAGAGGGGAAACTGGGCAGCATATACTGATTTTGTGGGTCAGCATACACTGGAGCAAAGTCTGATCTGATTTTTTTTTTTTTTTTTGCCTTACAGTGGATGAACCTGTTCAGTATGCAGTCGCTGGAGAAATTTGTTAGGAAGTGAGATCATGTAATGTTTAAGTACGCAGAGAAACTATGTCATGGGTGTCTATAGGTGTCTTTGTTGTACACCATGTCTGAGTTCACTGTGACACCAGCCGTGTATTGTTGAAGAAAATCTCCTTCATGACTTCAGTGCACCAGCAGCGTCTTCACACCATTAATCCTATTTTCAGAATGCAGGAAACAGGTGCATCCATAACCCTGGTGGTTATCTCTGCTGGAGACACACAAATGAGGTTCGTGCACACCCGGAGACACACTGTCCTCCTTATAATGTGGGAGTGATGACTGAGAAGAACAACGGCCCCCCTCACTCCTGGTCTCCTATGAGCCATATTTGTGTGCTGCCCTGACAGCTGGTGAGAAACAAGCTCTAAAACAACAGGAAGCCTGGGGCATCAGCTTGAGCCAAAATGCCAACAAGCGCATGCCATCTCCCTGCCCAGGGCCGTCGATTCGGTTCGGCAGGGACGGGAAGCAACATGATCCTCGATAATGAACCCCCAGAGGCTTGTGCTTCCTCTTGCAACAGGTGCAAAGACAGTTCATCCTGGCAGTTAACCATAGGGGCATTTACAGGCAACAGGATTAAACAAATGATGTGCAGTCATGCAGAGCATTAACCCTCTTTAGGGGGAATTCTTCAAGTCACTCATTCTAATCATTTGACCAGAGAATGTGGCTCTTTTTTAAAATTTTTTTATTCTATGTCTGGCCTTTCTGTTGAACAATAGGTGGACAGGCTCAATCTGTGTGTGAAGATAACACGGGCCCATGGGTGCTGGAAAGGTGGAGTTCTGCTTGGTTAGCAGTGATGATGTAAAACATCATCAAGATAGCTTGCATTTGATACAGGACTGTAGTAGTACACACACGACAGCAAGCCTTGAAACAAAGAAGGAGTTCACACCCCGCTCATGACACCCCTGCAGCGGTTTCGAGCAACCATACCCGCTCTACCTGTGCGGCAAGCAAACAGCGCGCACACCCCCTCACTTTACCGGATTGAGTAATAATGGTTAAAAGCCCTCTAGCAGGCAGGTGACTCACACACACAACACACAAGTCAGCTATCTGGCACGTCCAGCTAGTGATGATACAGGATGAATTGTTATTTCCCTTTTGTTCAAAAGACTCAAATAGATATTGTAGGCCAAATGAATCAAATAATAGGTTATTGGTTTGCAATCGTCAAAAACAATCTGTATTCCCTTTTTAGCCTGTATTTATTATCATAAAAGATTGACACATATACTTAGTTGCCTAAATGATGACAATTTAGTTCCAGTTTCTTCTCTGTTTTGTAAGATTCATCTAAATGGCTTGCTCTATTCGTCAAAAATACCAAAACAAGATTTACAGCGTTAAATAAAAAACCTCAGTAGGACCTGAAGTTGCATCACTCACGCGGCGTCGTATGTTTGGCACCAACATACACAACAATCACAGGCTAGACATAGGTTCATACAGCAGCCTATAGCTACACCGGACATTCAAATTACTACTTTCTGAACTCACCTAAATAACTCTGCAGCTCTCCTCGCCGACTGACCCCCCAGACTCCTCTTTGGTAAAATACAGCTCCTCGGTTTCTTTGTGGGGGGGGGGCCTAGGAAG